AATTAAACAAAATGCTCCTGATTTTGATTTAGTAATTGATGATAATCCAAATGTTTGTAGGAGTTTAATATGTAGAGACTGTTTAGAAGTGAAAAGTGATGGAGAAATAGCCTTAGCTCCTGTTGAATGCGGTAAATGCCCTGAAATGACTGTCATTGCCCCTTATTATCCCGCCGTAGCCAGTCAGCATGACGAAAGAGTTTTGTTAGTTAAAAATGAGGTGAGTGAGTTGAAAAAGGAGGATTTTGAACAAATGAAAAAACTAACAGCCATTAACGAACAAAAACAAGAAGTAGATTTTGGTTTTGCAGGAAAATATCGAACTCAAACTAATACTTCTCTTTCTTGGAATTGAGAAGGCAAAGAATTATTTAAGAGAATACCTTGTGGTCAGTGTAAAAAACTATTTACTGAAGAAGATTTGAGAAATAACAATTATAACCTGTGGACGGATGAAAGATTTGGTTGAATAGACAAGAAGTTAAATCTTTATTGAGATAGGCATTTGATTAATTATCAAGTGATAGATAAAGAAAATAATTGTCGTAATTTCCCAGATGGAAAGCAATTGGTTTTAAAAGCGGCGTTCATTATTACTGATGTAACTCATAAAGAGTGTAAATAAGTGAAAAAAATCCCTCCCTATTATAAAACAATATATATGATGTTATTATTTAGTTAATTCTAAATATTGTATATAAGATAAAAAGTAAAACAATATGATATTCAACAAAAAAACATGACAATATGGAAAAAAGAGAAGCAACCATTCCCTCAAAAAAGGAAATTTTAGAATCAATACTTAAATCTTGCCAAAGAGTAATGAAGGAGGAGAATGATTGTTTTCAAAAAGGAGAAGTGGAAATTAACTACTCTGCTTTAGCTGAAGGTTTATTAAAAAAATATGAACAATTAATTGCTTATTATCCAAGGGATTCTTCTTCGGAATTTTCACAAACATTAAAAAAAAAAGATAGAAGATATTCAGCATCTGAAAAACCTCCTTAAAATTTCCAAAGTGATTAATTTCTTAGCGAAGGTGGTTAGTATTCTTGGGTATCCCAGTTTAT